AAGATTTCCCCATTTGTACCAGAGACACACACGGTCATTCAGGTGATCATCACATATCAGACTGCTGGCCGAACACATGGTGATGGCTCACACACTAGGTATTCTTAGATAGACAATAGCGTATTAAGAGCATCAGTCAGCCTAGGTGTTAGGTGTACTACCAGTAGTATTAGGGGTCTGGCCCCTCATGTATAAAAACCAGAGTAATACAGCGTAGAACAACAGTCTGATCTTTCTTAGATCATACATCGTCTACTTCTCTCGACTCTACTCTGAGTTAGCTACTCCTCTTGCAACTTCTATACCACACCAGTGAGTTTAGGGTTAGAGTTAGGGTTAGGGTCAAGGGCGATACCTTGACATAAAGATCAGACTATCCTATTAGTTGATTGTCATCATTGACCACTTTCCTTCTTGTGCCCATCTCGTTTGTTTTACAGATAAACTTATTCCCTCGGGAAGTGTCGTTGCATGCTTCCCAGTTTGCCCAGGACCTTCAAGAAGCTCACACCCCATCCCCCTCCTCTTTCCCATTCTTTGGGACACCTACTGAACAGTTGCAATTCGTCGAAGGACATCTAGCAACTCTTGCAGCTGGAGGTCTCAATAGACCTGCTGAAGAAGAGCTCTTCAGAGAATATATTGGACTTGCAGAGACTCTGCGGGAGTCAATCCGATTAGGAGAACAGGATTCGGAAGTAGCAGAAGAAGTACAGGCAAGCGAGTCGCCTATCCCCTCATCACCTCGACAACCCATACCCACACAGTGGTTCTTACGACGTATCGCGGACTCTCCTGATTTAATAGAAATCTCGAGGAGTCAATACAAAGAAGAAGAACTCTGGCGTAGAGTAGGAGGACCAGAAGCTGAATTTATTCTAGCTGCGGTCCAGCACAATCTGATCAGTGGAGTAGTCGAGCGGGCTCAAACAGAAGAATCAGGCGGCGACCCGAATGACTTTGACTTGAGTGCCGCACCAGCAATATCACTTTTCGCCAACGAGATAGCGAGGTCAGCAGCACCTCCCTATTCGCCACCACCACCAGCCTATATCCCAGCACCCCCCACCTACGAAGACAATCGTCTTCACCCCGATTTTCTAGGACTTGCAGAAGGCCTTGAAGAAACACGGGAGCAAGAAGAAGATTCTCTAGAATATGTGGAAAGTACCGGAGAAATAGCGGAGGAACCAATAGCCTCCTCAGCCGTAATCAGCAGCGAGTCTAGTGTAAGCGATTTGATCTCGGAAGGAGATCAGCGAGAACGCGTGGCCCCCTCAAGACCTTTCCCTCCTTGGCTGCAAAGCAGGAGGATGACTCTTAGGGACACCCTGGGAGAGCAGAGGTACTATCACCCCTACTCTCATACACGACCCCCTACCCCAATCACAAACAGTGTCCAAGAGGACATCGACAGGTTCCGAGTGGGACCAGAACAAACGGTCGAGTACGTACCACAGCCCTATACAAGAGCTGAAGGGGTACGTCAGACCCACAGACAACGAAGGAGGAGAGAAGACTCATCCGCTTTTGTTAACAAGCAACACCTTAATCGCATCCATTGCGATCTGCAGGGTCTGCAGCATAAGACAGGCTACTCATTGCTGAGTACGACACAGCAGGAGCAGATAAGGTTCTTAATAAGATGGATAGGAGGCATCCTATCCAATATTAACTACCGCGGCGCAGACGTATACAGACCGATAACCAGGAGGTTACTTGTGTAGTTCATAAATCGAAGTCAGGGACAAGTTTGGTGATGCCAGGTACAGAAACCTTGGGTGATTAGTGAAGGAGATATTACGAGAAAGTGATCATGTGGAGTTGGGCAGAGATAGTATTATTTGGAATAATACTCTCTGAAGAAATTTATCTTTAATCAATCGGATGTCAGTAGTAAACAAAAGGACACTTACTACGAAATTGTACCACATATCCTAAATTTATCATGTCGACATCTTCTACACCTATACCAATGGCAGGAGTTGAACCCGACCTCTCTTGGTATCTATTAAACCCTCAAATCGACGAGCATGTAATAGCAAGATACTATCCTAGAGAAAACAATGAAGTCACTAGAGTAGCTTGGAAGGAGATCTTAGAATCTACCACCCAATCACTCCAACTAGAGATTCAACGAGTTTTCAAGGATGTATTTACGCAGACAGGGCAATTGGAGCAAAGACTTTCAGACCAGCAGTCTGAAATAACAGCTGCCAATGTTCGCCTGGCTGCAGTAGAAAATGCGAATGTACAATTGAGGACGGATTATACTGTGCTCGTAGAGCAATTAAATCAACATGTGGCACAAGTGGCACAACAACCTGCAACAAGCATGTCGCACGAACAAGAGGAAAGAAGGTTCAGGATTGTGCAACCAGGAAGGTTCGCAAACAATTCAAAGGAACAGACCTTTGAACAATTCGTTGAAAAACTGGCTGTATGGTACACGCACCAAAAAGTAACTTCGGACAGAGACCAAATTACCGGTGTACTTGCTTTGTTGGAAGGCCGCGCCCACGTAGTGGCCGGTAATTATTATTGCATGGTTAAAGACGCCAAAGATTTGGGGAAATATGAAGATTTCCTACACCAAATGAGGAGGGCCTTTACCATGATGGATCAAGAAGAAGATGCACGTCAAGAATTCCTAAAGATGCTTAGGAAATATGACAAGGTCTCGGCAGCTGACACTGCCAAGTTTATTGGAGAATTCAGAGGTCTGGCAGACCTCATGAAGTCAACAGATAATGAATTAATCGCTGCAATCTAAGATAGATTGCACAGAGAGATTAAAAATGTCCTTGCGGCAAGGGGAAGTTCCCAATGGCCCAAGAAATGGTCGGAGTACTGTGATTACGTACTCGACATTTGTAAAGACATGGATATTCATCAATCTGTATCTTCAATAGGACCAGCATACAAGGATCCGAATGCCATGGAGGTGGATAATACATTCAAGCAGAAGCAATCTGGCTCGAGGCCAACTCAACAGCAAAGGAGCAATCCTGATCCAAAGAAGCGACAGGAAGGCAATGCGTTGAGTATGCAGGAAGCACAGAAAAAAGGTGTATGTTACATTTGCGGCAAGCCGGGACATTGGGGCAGAACATGCCCTAATAAGAAAACAGGAGACTCTGCGGCTAGGCCCGCAGCAGCAAACACAACTTCTAGTACTGGAGGTGGCAAAGGGAAATTACCAGATTTCTCTAAACCTCAGTTTAGAAGAATTCGACAAATTGAATTGTCTAGCAATGATGATTTGGACATAGAAATTCAAGTTGTGCGAAAGTCTAAGGGAACTGGCAACCCTCAGAAACCAGTAAAGGCCATTGAAGCAGCAGCCATTACACCAGAAGCTGTACCGGGCCCTTCAAAGAAAAAACACCGGAAGGTCAAGATCTTGAAGATTGTTGAACCTTCACGCTCGCCAAGTCTGTTAGGTCATATCTTGGAGGTAGATTCTGATGAGGATAACGAGCGGGGTTTTGGTCGACGCCTGTT